TTTGAAATGTAAAATGCTAAAGCTCAGGTGACCTAAAAACTTAAAATCGGTGCATTGGATTTGTAGTTGTGAGACATCAATGAAAGCAAATCAGCCAATTTGACCCCATTATCCCAGGCAGGCTCCTTTAAAATTTATCTATCCCCCTTAGCAAAGCATGCTATCAGTACAATTTGGATGACGTTTGATAATATCCAGATGACGATTCCACTATACACTTTTGTAACTGGAGTGATCTCCCCTTAATTTCTATCTGTATTTACTGTATCAAAAGGGACTTGGCAACTGATTGCTGGTGATTAGTTACTCTACTGGTCAGAGCAACTTTTTGTACTTGTACCTCAACATTACAAAATTTCTGTTTCAACATTGCAAGGAACATAAAACACAAACTATGTTTTACACATCACATAATTCTTTAATTAAGATACATATTTGTACATTAATTTACCAGCACTGAAATGTTTTGATAAGCTCTCAGGGACAAATTCTCTGACACATCTAACCTGCGTTATGTCGAATGAAGGTTTCTCGATTGGTGGACAGTGGGAAAACAGCTTGTTTGCTATGCAACGAATGTAACCTAATGGAAACAGCAAACAAGAAATAAATCTAAGTACAAATCAATATCTGATTGATCATGTCATTTTCTTGAAATCCACAATCAATTCAAAGTGGGTGGCAAAGTGAACATCAAATCCGTCTTCAGTCTCTGCATGCACCAAACTCTGCCATGCTTATGCTGTCGGCAGTGTCAACACTGGGAATACTAGATAAAGATGAGGTGAAGACTGGACCCTCACCAGACTAGCAAATGTTTAATATGTTGTGTCTCCTCTCCTGGTTAAACACTGATGATGAATGAATTGCTTTGCATCCAAAGGTTTTATATTATATCACTAACCACTTGGACATGTAACATTTAGGCATCAAATTCAAGACCCATTCCGACCTTGTGACCACCTTGGTTGAAATTCTTGCCCTCAACCAATGAAGAAAGGTTCAGCTTTACACCTGAAATTATAAACAATACTGTCTCAATAAAACTCTCATTAAAGTAGTAAATATTCAGTTCGCCCTGCCCTGATTTACAAGGACAATCTTGATATCAATCAATTCATTCAGAAATGTATCATTTTAGGTAGATAATCAGTTTAGATGCCCTTACAATTAACTCACTGGCCAATTTAGAGAATGTGACTTAATGATTGATCAATCTACAAGCATGACATGGGGAACCAAAACACTTACCTTTCCTAATGTTTTGAGTGTAGCCCATTCCGATTTGGAAAGCATTATTTACTTTCAACTGCAAAAGAAAACACATCTTCATCACAATAGATCTCGTAATAAATTGACAAGGCATTTTGCAATCAATAGAAATCCTGTATGCACTCCATAGTTACAATCATCATGGCTGTAGCACCCTGTTTGCATGCTCTTTCAATATCGACATACCAAACACTGCAATAACTAAGATTTTCTAAATACTGTAATACTACCCTAAACCCCCTTCATGGTCCTGACAATGCTTACATATAAATGACATAATTTAGCTGCAATTTAATTTGACATAAACATAATT